CATCCCCATTATCTTCTTTACTATTAAGGATCTACCCTAAGAATCAACTATTCCTCATTCATTCATTCCTAAGGATCATCCTAAGGAATCGGCACGAAGTCCATCGTCACCGGGGTTTAGGCACTAAGTCTGCATAGTCGCTAGGATTTATACAATAGGCACTAAGTCCGCATAGTCACCAGGGTTTAGGCACTAAGTCTGCATAGTCGCCATGGTTTATACAACAGGCACTAAGTCCGCATAGTCGCCAGGGTTTTGGCGACTAAGTCTGCATAGTCGCCATGGTTTATACAACAGGCACTAAGTCCGCATAGTCGCCAGGGTTTTGGCACCAAGTCTGCATGATCGCCAAGGTTTATACAACAGGCACTAAGTCCGCATAGTCGCCAGGGTTTTGGCACCAAGTCTGCATGATCGCCAGGGTTTAGAGTACACCGGATGAACACATCGTTCACAACACCTACAGGTTGCGAGCCTGCTAGTGTTCCACTGGACTGTCTAGAATAGTCCGTGGTTGTCATCCATACTCTGCTAGATTACGGGACATCATTTGGGAAAAAGGCTTCTCACATCGTCCACCTCTCACCCTTACCTCATGGTCTATATCACCTCTCAACTCATCATCCAACTCATATTTCATCTACCCATGTTTTACCCAACATATTATGTAGATATAGAATACATATACAGTTTAAATCATTTAAAACATGTAAAAAATCGTTCATCCATCATAGATAGCAAGCATACAGATAATATGCACACATAGCACGTAATTTATATAAAATATTTCATATCTATGTGTAAGATGAAAGTAATTATGCACTCACTTGAAAAGGTGGTGATTCCGAACTCAGACAGCGCTTCGCTTCTTAAAAAAAATAATTTCCTTCGACGAAACCTAGTATTATTACCACTAGAGTTTAGTCTATTATTCGCCGAGACTAATTAATAGTCTAGTTATTATTACTATTATATAAGCGTTAAACAATACTTATATAACCCATAATAATAGCCCAAGTACTTATTATAAGTTCCTAATAACGTTACTATAATTAAATAAAAGCTATATTAAAAATAGCGTAGGCGTAGCTCACTTACAACGGGTTTTATAGAAAACCGGGCTTTTCTTGGAGCAGCGTTCCCGAGTCGAAAAGCTCTTCTTCGCGGAGCCATCGAGCACTCCGGGGCTCCCGCCTCGTGCTAGGGAGGTTCCCTAGGCTTTTCGGGGGGTTCGGGGCTAGAAAGAGGTTCTAGAGAGAGAGTAAAGAGAAGAAAGAATGGGAAAGATGTGAAGAAAATGAGGGTGGGAGAGGTTCTATTTATAGGGTGAAAAATGGCTGAACTTGGTGCCACATGTCACCATCTAGTGGCAAGACGTGGGGAGAAAGCAATGGCCAAGATTGTGCCACATCACCCATTTTCGCACAGCACACTTCCGACTTCTAAAATCCGTAACTTTGACATACGACCTCCGTTTTTGACGTTCTTTATATCCATGCGTAGGTAAAAATAAAATCTACAACTTTCATTTTGACTCCGTCGGCTAATTCTCGACCGATCTTAAATTTAACAGTACGAGGAGATTATACTGTTAAATGTCCGCGTAAAATTCATAACTTCTACATACGGACTCTGTTTTCGTCTGTCTTTTTACCGTTGAGTTCCTACTAATGAGATCTTCAATTCTCATTTAGGTCGTGTAGGCGAAAAACCGCTCGATCTAAAATTCGAGTTTCGGGCTGTGCACTGCTAAGCCAAATTTTAGAAAATTCATAACTTCCTCATACGAAGTCAGATTTGAGCGTTCTTTTTTTGTATGTTCTCGGTTTAACGTATACTACAACTTTTGTTTAGATTTCTAAGGCTAAAAAGTCCTCCATCGTAAATTCACTAAAACTACGACGGACCATAACTTCTTCGTTATAACTCGGATTTCAACGTTCTTCATATGTACGGAACCCTTGAGACGTATTCTACAACTTGGTTAAGATTATTTATTCTAAATAATCTTTTGTCAAAAAGTCGTTTTCGACCCCTATTATCTCTAAATTGACTAGCCCGGATCTACGGGCGTTACACAAGATATTTCTTGGCACATACCATCAGAGTACTCACAAATATCCCATTGTGTCAAGTGTTATTGAAACCAGAGAAGTCTGAAAGACTAGCTAAATGGACAATGGAATTAAAAGAGCACGAAATCATTTTCAAACCTCGAACCAACATAAAAGCACAAGCACTGGTATATTTTTATCACCGAAATAGCAGGTCAGAGGGAAGTGTCGTTGATACTCGAATCAGATAGAAACATTAAAGACATGAACACAACGCAAGAAAATAAATGGAGATTATTTTCCTATGGATCCTCTTGTGCAAAAGGTGCGGGAGCTGGCTTGATATTAACAAGCCCAACGAGGGAAGAGATAACATACACATTAATATTTGACTTTCAAGTATCAAACAATAAATCGGAATATGAAGCACTCATCGCAGGATTGCAATTGGTTATTAAGATGGGGTGTGAACACATACACGCCTCTATGGATTCGATGGTCGTTGCCAACTAGACAAATTGTTTGTATGAAATTCGAGGAAGGAATTTAGCACAATATACAAATAAGGTGAAATCATTAACAAAGCACTTTAAGAGCTTTAGGCTAGAACATGTGTCGAGGTCGAAAAACAAACGCGTAGATGCATTTAGTAAGCTTGTATCGTCCACTTTCCCCCATTTAACCAAGAAAGTATTGGTAGAAATAGTACAAGTAAAAGCAATAGAGGAGAAAATGGTAATGTCAGTATTAACAGAAACAAACGATTGGAGGAAACCAATAATAGAATACCTAACAGAGGGCAAGTTACCTACGCCTGACAAGGAAGCTAGGAAACTAAGGGTAAAAAGCACCATCCTTCATAATGGACAACAAAGTATTGTACAAAAAAAGGGTATTTAACACCTCTCTTACGATGTGTAAATGGCAAGGATGCAAAATACCTCATAAGAGAAATGCATGAGGGAGCGGCAAGAGCACATGAAGGAGTACGGACAATAGTACGTAAAATATCACGGATAGGGTATAATTGGCCGACCATGTGTCAAGACACAAAAGTAGTTATCTACAGTTGTGAAAAGTGCCAGAAACATGCAACAATCCCAAGAAAATCAGCAGCACCAATGATTAGCATCATTAGCCCCTTGCCTTTCATTAAATGGGGAATAGACATAGTCAGACCGTTCCAAGAAGCACACGGGAAGGTAAAATTCTTAGTTGTAGCAATAGACTATTTCACCAAATGGGTCGAGGCAGAATCATTGGCCACAATAACAGGCCAAAACATGATCAAATTCTATTGGAAGCAAATCATTTTCCGTTTTGGGGTACCACATACATTAATCTCATTTAACGAAGCACAATTTGCGAATAACCCCTTCCGGGAGTGGTGTGAAGATCTTTGAATAAATCAGAGGTTCACTTCAGTATCACACCCAGAAGTAAATAGGAAAACTGAAGTCACTAGTCAAACAATCGTGCATGGCTTGGCAACAAGACTAAACGAGTCCAAAGGATGATGGGTTGATGAACTCCGAACCGTGTTATGGGTATACCGAACAATAGTGCGAGCGACAACAAAAGAAACATCCTATAGCTTAGTTTACGACTCGGAAGCAGTGCTACCATTAAAATTGATTATCCTCACAATCGAATGACAAATCTGGATGTGGATAGTAATGATGACATCATAAGAAAAAACCTGGATATTTCCATGGAGCGAAGAGAGGTAACAGCAATACGACAAGAACATTATAAAAATCAAATGGAGAGTTATTACAAACGACGGGTCAAAGGCCGCTGTTTCAAAGTAGGCGAGAAAGTATTACGGAACAATGAGGCTAGTAGGCAAGAGCCGCAAGGAAAAGTACGTCCAACATGGGAAGGTACATACATAATAAACGAAGCAGACAGGGATGGGTCATACGTCCTACAGACAATAGAAGGTGAGACGATACCACGAAGGCGACATGTCAAAAACCTTAGGAAGTACTATGTTTGACTACTGCAAAGGCATGTACAACAATTATCACGAGAATGGAAGGAGTAGGAACTATTATCATTAGAACCTATCTGTACCATGTTGACGACATCACAGATCATGGCAAAACCAGTCGCCTTATCGAAAATATAAAAAGATAGGCTACCCACTTAGCCCAAGAATACATTTCTTCTTCAAAGCATGTAGCTCGGTCCGTCGACTACACTTATGTATACATCGAGTATCACTACTCAACAAATAGGCTACCCACTTAGCCCAAGAATACATTTATTCTTCAAAGCATGTAGGTCAGTCCGCTGACTACACTTATGTATACATCGAGTATCACTACTCAACAAATAGGCTACCCGCTTAGCCCAATAATACATTTATTCTTCAAAGCATGTAGCTCGGTCCACCGACTACACTTATGTATACATCGAGTATCACTACTCAACAAATAGGTTACCCGCTTAGCCCAAGAATACATTTATTCTTCAAAGCACGTAGCTCGGTCTGCCGACTACACTTATGTATACATCGAGTATCACTACTTAACAAATAGGCTAACCGCTTAGCCCAAGAACACATTTATTCTTCAAAGCATGTAGCTTGGTCCACCGACTACACTTATGTATACATCAAATATCACTACTCAACAAATAGGCTACCCACTTAGCCCAAGAATACATTTATTCTTCAAAGCATGCAACTCGGTCCGCCGACCACACTTATATATACATCAAGAATCCTTACTCAACGAACAGGTTACCCGTTCAGCCCAAGAATGTACTTATTCTTCAAATCGTGTAGTTCGATCCACTGCCTACATTAATATATCCATTACAACTGAACCTCCTAAGAACGAGCTATAAATCGGCATGCTTCGTCCAACTCTTCCTCAAACAACACAAAAGAAGGGCACCCACCTACATATACGGGAAAACGACGCTAGTAGGACGGAATAATCATTTAATACCCACAACATAGCTGAAAATACGCCAAATCATTTGCAAAGCAGCCGTCCTGGGGGAAACTTGCCCGAAAAACGAAGGAGAAGTGCAGCGAGGGCCCACATGGGAAATCTCATGGAGAAATTGTTCAAACTGATCAGGCGAAAGGACCCGCCTACGCTTTTGAGTAGAAGAAGCACTTCCTGGGGGCACAACCCCTGTAGAGCTAGAAGAATCGACATGCGCAAAGCCAATCACAGGACAAGATATGTCCAGAAGTTGATCGATTGAGAACACATTCAACCCTAACCCTGGAAGACCAATGGGCGATTCAAGCGTCGAAGTTATCCGGTCCAAGTTTTGGTCAGGAACCACACCATCCACCACAATGGACTTGGGGAGAATATCACCGGCCAAATAGGATGTCAGGTGAAAGGAGCATTTACTCCCATCTGCAATAATAAATGAGCATAGAGAAAAAACCCAGAGGTAGCATTTATATCACGAGATTACCCACAACCAGGGAAAGAAAAGACAAAAGAACGTATGCTAAATCCAATAAAAAGGGTCAGATAAACCTGCATGACATACATATAACACTGGTAGTTGACAACGAGATTTCTAGAATGGGCTCATATGACACAGAGCAAGTACAACTTCAGGAAGAAATGCCCTCTTTACACAGAAATGGGAAAATAAAGGCATAAAAGTAAGAAGATCGGAAGACAAAGATACTGAGTCATCACCAAGTGAAACATAACATGGGAAAAACGGTAAACACAAGCTATGAAGGTCCACCCAACAAAACCTACTTTTCCAGTTCCCATTCGAACGAGCTAAATCCAGAGAAAGAGGAAAGTGACGACTAGTAAAAGAAAACCAGTCGCCATACTTTTTTAAGCGATAAAAATAGCGAAACAAGAAAACATCAAATGGTATCTCATGAGCAACACAAAAAACTTCGAAGGTGACAATATTTGACATTGCATTCAGACATAGTGGGACAAGATGAACTTTGTAGTAATAGAGAACGTCTAAAAAAACACGAGGGTAACCGTAACCCACATACAAGATGACGAAGATAGAAACCAACCTTACCAGGCGAGGCATCAAGAACAGACGAAGATGAAGACGGAACTTGGAAACCAAGTACAGGATAAGGTGATAATCATGAGTATACCACTCCAACATGCATCAATCCACTTCGAACGCCACTACAGACATGTCATCACCCATTCCAATCATAGTGATGGGAAACTCAAAGGGAACACAATGTAAAGAAGTTTCTACGATAATAAATCAGGCTTACTCGATAAATAATCAGAGGGACCGATTAAAACATTTATTAAGGGCAATCTAATAAAAGCACAAACGATGACGCGCGACGACACAATCATTTAATGCACAACATGAGAAGGATTTTATAGTACCCGATACAGATTTAAAAGTCTGAACGGGAAAAATATTTCGACAATATTCTTTTACCCTTCAGACGGGTGGGCTTAATGGTGTACCATGCCGGTAGTCCGAAGAAACCCATTATCGGCCCGGTACTCACCTGGTCGGCGCTGCAAGCATTGCCACTTGTTTCGGGAAAATACGAATTCAAATACATCGTATGCAAGCATTATAATCTCATCCCATAAAATATGCCACACGGTACAAAGCAAATAAAATAAGCAAGGAAAGGACAGGAAGTACGACCGCTCACAGACGGGGCAATAGGTGAAGGACCAGTCTAAGTCTAAGAAATGGGATTTATTAACCACGAACATCCTATAAATATCCTCGAAGACATGATAACTAGGGAGGTAAGGAAGGAGAACACATATTCCTTAACACAAAAGCAACACCAAAAAGTCACAATCTAACTTAGGCATCGGAGAGCTATGTCGGGGTCCAACCCTCGGTATGGTTGTTTGACCTAGTTCTTCCTATTCTTATGCAAAGTGAATTCTCGGAAGCCTATTGGACGAGACCCTTTGAGGTGGAAGAGCTAAGCATGCGTCTGGAGTTCGTCGTATCAACAATATGTTAACTATATACATGGTCCATCCTTTCATCTTGGTATGATGCTTTGCACATCATTTTGGACTTTGAGATGATTTGGGAAAATAGGCTTAGAAACATAATACATTACAAAATATTTACATTGTTATCATTTTCTTATGAAGTTTGTTGTTGTTGATTAACAATATATTAGATATTGAAATGCTTATTTCTCGAATTATTGAAACTTACTAATCTTTTAAAGTTTTGGAAATCCATTTTAGGGGTTTTCATTGCGTATCAAACATGCAAGTTTCATGTTTATTATAATATGTAACTCCAATAATACTCATTAGAATTCTTCAGCCTAACCTACCTATTTTGGCGTGTGTTCTGATTAAAATTTTTTTTAAAACATTGAAGATGGAAGAATATATGAACGTTTAGAAGATGTTGTATTTTGAATTAAGATACATGTAAAATGTTTCCTTTATTTTTTTTTTCTAGTTTATTTTTATAATTTATTACATCCTCGTATACATTGTCATTTTAAACCTTTTAATGACTTGACTATTTAAGACATTTTCTACAAATTGTTTTCCTAAAGATTTTCCTTTTATAAAAGTACTTGAAACTTTACTTTCAAACGATTATTTTTAAATGATGAATACGAGGGGCGTTTTATCAAATCCTTAAATTACCATATTTATTAAATCCCTACTCTAATAAATGAATAGTTTTAATCTCCTTTTGTCAAGTGTCACCCTAATACAACTCATTATTAATACTATGTCATGTAGATATATTAGACAACTTATTTTAAAATTCAAATTTACATTTTCAAATTATATGTTAAATTTAAAGTTATAATAACTTTAAAATTTGATATATCTTTCATCTCTTAACTACTAATTTATTTAAAATAATTGATTAATAATTATAAATTTTTATTATAAAAATTTAATTAATTTTATAACCGTAGTTCCCACGGGTTATAAACTAGTAAATAAATAAACTAGTAATAAGTAATTATTTTTCCCAACTCTCTAGCCAAAGTGTAATATAACCCGTAAAAAATAGAATTCATTAAAATAAATTATTAAATATATAAATAATAAGCCTATTTTTTTCTCAAATAATTATTTAATAAATCAATAACCACAAACTCCTAATATTTCATGATGGTCCTTCCAATTAGGCCTTTTGTATATTTTTACTCAAATGGCACAAGAACATTTCATGATGGTCCTTCCAATTAGGCCTTTTGTATATTTTTACTCAAATGGCACAAGAATTCACCACTTGAAGACACTCTCAAAAACAGTAGCGAACTTAAGATTTTCATCGTGTCTTAATATTAACTAGGTGTGAAACCCGTGTCTTACACGGGCTGATTTAAAAAAAGATTAAACATTAAAATATAACATAAAATATTTTTTAATATACAACTTTAAAATAAGAAAGGAATAAAACATATTTATTGCAATTTAATATCATATATATGATATTTAATACTTTACATATGTAATTATGACTTTAATCTTAAAAATTGAAACAAACCAAAAATTGACAAGTGGATAATATTTATTTTAAAATTACCATAAAATGACAAGTGTCAAAACTTATAAAAGATTGACATGTGGCAAAAAAAACTTTCATTTATTAAGGAGGATATTTAATAGAACATTCTTCAACCAAAGTCCTTAATCATTCCATAACTCCTGAAATATACTATTAAAACCATAGTTGATTTAATAACAATCAAATATGTATTTTCACATCTTAATATGAACTAGAAGTTTCCCTCCGCGTTGCGGGGGGCGGAAGGTGTTGCTTTTGCGTCAAAGTAAAGTACATTGCCTAAGTTGTTAGCCACAATAAAGTACGTTGCCATTGTAGGAGATTTGTCCATTTACAAACGTGTAAATGTTATAATAAGAAAATACAATCCAATAATTGGATAGAATTTTCACAGGACAATGTGTTAATAAGAAAAGATATCAAAGTATTGTAGTATGCTATAAAAAAAGAACAAAAAAAAATGTACATTGCTAAATTGAATCTATCTCCAAAAAACCAACAACAACAATCAATTTTTCTGATATGGAAAAAAAAGTGTAGAAAAAAAGCACAAAATTACCGACCTCGGACCAGAACCTCAACGAAGATGATGGAGAAGACGGAAAATCAAGGACTGGAATGGCAATTTGAATACAATTTAGGCGAAGCAGGGGAGACGAAAAGGTGCTCTGAACAGGGGTAACTCCCACAGTGCAGCTGCACAAACAATAATGATTCATATATTTTTATATTCAGATATTAATTATACAAATAGATTACTTTATATTGAATGCATGATAATAAATAGAGCTTCATTAATTTCAAAGCTTAATACCTAGGAAAATAACAACAAACAGAATCAGAAGAAATAACATGAATAAAAAAGAAACATAGACACATTAATTGAAAATTGTAACAGAATGAGTAAACTCTCACAATCATATAACAGCAATTGAAAAATGGTCTGAGCATATCTTTCATGTGTTCCTGTCCATCCATTCATAGAAGCAAAAAAAAAAAAAAAAAAAAAAAAAACTCATAAACGTGACAATAACCACATTTTGTGTGGAAAAGACCTTGTAATTTTTTTTTTTTGATTTTTTCCAATGTAACCTTTGTCATTTTTTTTCCAAAAAAAACTTGTAAAATGTGGGTTTTTTTTCAAGAAAAAGTAAAAAAGCTGACGGTTTAGTCTGAAACATTTATAAGTTCGAGTCTTTTCCGGAAAAAAAAAATACAAAGCTGAGGGCTTTTCTCGAAAGAATGAAAAAATACAAGGTCTTTTAAAAAAATAAATTGTGAGGAGATGAACAAAAGGGCATGTTTTAGATGACAAGGGCAAAATCGTCCACCTGATAAATTTTGAACAATCTTTTTGAGTAGCATCTGGTCTAGGTTTAGAAATTCCTTGAGGAATATATGCTTCATAGATTGAATTTGCAGATGCATTTTCTCCAACTTCAATCATGGCATCAATTTCAGCATCACTCCATGAATCTAATGTCATTGGTAAAACCTGCCAAATTCAGACTATTATCATTAAAATTTGGTTCAACAATGTATTTATTTATTTATTTGGGGAGGGGTAACCTTGGAAATATGAACACCAAGACATCTGTGAACACCACAACGTTTTAAGCATATGAACACTCCAATATTAGCTGACCTAAAATTCAAGACGAAACATTTTCATATGATTATTCATGGAAAAAAATTGTAGAAAACTGGTTATGTATAAAAAAGAAAAAAAAAGAAGGGCTAAAATATAAGCACAATCATATGTATATAGCTGCTAATTTTCTTTTGGAGGAAAAGAAATAAAGAAAAAGGGAAAAGAAAGGAAACTAATTATTTTATTCACGTTCTAGAGTTGGAAAGAAAGAGAAGATTAGCTGACATTTTTTAGTGTTCTTGAATTAAGGGAAATGAAAGAAAAGTTTAAAGTTTTACCATTTTCTTTTTTACTGAGTAAATATTTAAAAATTAAAGTTCTTTTAATTGAAGTTAAAAAAACTCACGCCCACTTAGGATCAGGTGCACCACAGTCATCACATGTTCGATTACGACGTTGCTGCAATAGATCTTGTAATCTTCTGTTACCTACATTATCATAAAGGGTTATATAATCTAATAAATCAGCCATTAAAATAACTGTTAATATTCAAGAAGGTAAATATACATGAATAGGACTTAGAATCTTAAGTCAATGCAACAAAAGTTGCAATGTATTTTGAAGGTGGGAAAGAGACTTGTTTCTTGATCTCTTCTGTGTGAAGAAGACATCAATGCCCTCCTCATCATACTAACGAACACATAAGATTACTTGAATGCCTTTGAACTTCTAAAATTTATTTTACATTCATAACACCTTCTAGATATAACAACTGTACGTTTTATGGTGTAGTAATCCAACTTTCCCCAAAAGGTAGCATTCAATATAAACTTCATTGTATCTTATATATAATAACACATAGCAAGTAAGGACATTAACAAATAATTCCATGCTTAAGAGCAATCTACAAAAGGGGCGAAATCTAGAAATAGATAATGATTTTCTTCCAATTTATGGGGGAATTGGAATTCCTTAGTTTATCATATTATACTACAATTTTTGGACAATTCAATTGATAACAGGGCGTATAAAATCAAAAAGTTGAATATGAATCATACCAGAAGGTGTTTTCCCAAGTGCAGACGAACGGTGAGTCATCCTTTTGCCTACAGACCAGAATCACCAAACAGAACTTTCAATTCTCTAACCATGCAGCTCTACACCACACCGAAATCCAGAAAAAGCTCAAAAGCAACATCAGATTTTTAATAAAATGAATTACTTACTTGTTTTCCATCGGGGATGAATTGGTTGCTTGTCTGGATAACGAACTAACCCTATCCTTTCGATTTATGCCCTCAGTTTTTCGACTTCTTTCAGCCAAATGTCATAAGCCTCATTTTCTTGCCCTGAATCACAGTAATAACACAAAAAGACGAACATAAGACAAGGTTTAACGAGGAAATGTGGAGTTTGGATAGGCTACCTGCAGCAACAGAAGAAGAGGACTTCAATTTATAGTAGATACACAGATGAAATATGCAACCCACCAAATCAGCACATATCCGATCAATCGCTGCTGGAAGTAGGCGGAGAAAGAAAGGAATCTTTGAATATGGTCGTCACCGGGGTCTCCATCTCCGTCTAGAAATCAGAAATTTAGGGAAAAAAATTAGAGTCGGCGGAATTACATACCGAGTTAAGATTCGACTTTTGATTGTTAGTGATTCTCTTCCTGGTCTTCATCATATCCCTCTAGAAGGCAAGCGAAATACAAACGAAGCCTCCAGAGTCCATCAACAGAGGAGAAAGTGGCAACCTCTAACGTTCGACTATTAAACGGATGAGGCGGTGGAGCGGTCGAGGCGGTGACCATGGTCTACAGTAACCCGATGAACACCCGACTGAGGCGGTGGTTTGGAGGCCGGTAGGGAATGGAAGGAACTGATAAGCGAGGCGGTGGGAATGATCTGGAAGATCGAGGCGGTGTTTTTTTTTTTAATGGAGAAAATGTCATAAATCGAGAAGTAAGCAACTTAAGTAGGAGGGTCGTTTCTGCCAAGCGGGACACAAACAAAAATACATTATTACATTAACAAATTGAAACACAAAGGAAAATTACATTAACAAATTGAAACACAAAGGAAAATAGAAGGACTGAGAATGTAATTCAAGGGACGGCAAAAAGTGTCATGTTAACTGTTTATTTTGTTCACAATTTTAATATATATATAATAATTAATGGAGAAAATGTCATAAATCGAGAAGCAAGCAACTTAAGTAGGACGGCCGTTTCTGCCAAGTGGGACACACACAAAAATACACAACATGAAGAAATAATAAATATATGGTTTCTAAATATAATTGTTTCAGGAATCGCATAATGTTCCACATCGAAAGTTTCCAAAATGTCATGACTAAAGAATTATATCGATTTTTTATGATATGATTCTTCCAAATCTACAATGTCCTAAATGTTGGAAACAATATTCAATGTCATTAGTTATTGATAATATTTCTAATAATAGCAAAGTTCTTTTTGATGACCCGCACGACCCAATGGAGCAGAAAAGAATTTAGAAGAAATTAATTTATTAATTTGTCATGGCTTGACGAGGTCAACCAATATATCATTCTGGTTGACGAGGTGCCTCAGAAACTGGACTTCGTGCAACCAAAACTCACACTTGAAGAACTTGGCGTACAACCTCTCCGCCTGAAGAACTCCAAGAAGCTCACACAAATGCTCCTCATGTTGCTCCTTTGTCCTGGAATAGACCAAGATATCATCGATGAAAACAATCATTGTTTGGTCCAACATAGGCCTACATACTCGGTTCATGAGATCCATGAACACTGTAGTGTGATAATGAGCCCAAAGGGCATCACCACGAACTTGTAATGCCCATAGCGAGTTTGGAAGGTCGTCTTCGAGATATCCTCCTCCCGAACCCTCATCTGATGATAACCATCTGATGATAACCGGATCTCATGTCGATCTTGTAAAACCAAGATGCCCCCTGCAATTGATCAAAAATGTCGTCAATATGCGACAGTGGATACCGGTTCTTTACTGTCAACTTGTTCAACTCCCGATAATCAATGCACATCCGGTGTGAACCATCATTCTTCTTGACAAAAAGGATTGGTGCTCCCCACGACAAGCTACTCGGCCGAATAAACTCCTTCCTTAACAGCTCTTGCAGCTGGGAGGATAACTCCTGCATCTCGGGTGGTGCAAGGCGATATGGCGCCTTCAGAATCAGGGCGACACCAGGGATCAGATCGATCATGAACTCGACCTGCCTCTCGGGAGACACGCTAGGCAATTCCTCTAGGAAACATCAGGAAACTCCCTCACAATAGGGACATCGGAAACTGACTTCTCATTCTCGACCCGCGTAACGACCACATACGCAAGATATGTTGGATTAGTGTCTAAGTCCATAACTATAATTGGTATGTACTTGACCCGATTTGGCATGGTCCATTTGGGTTGCATGGCATCAGAACAATTTGGATAGACTTTTGTGAGAAAAGGATATTTATGATTTATTAATATATTATAAGTTCTAATTTATTAATATGAAATCATATTATTTAGTTAGTATTGATCAAGAATTAATTTGGAATTAATTCTGTGATCAAAAGAGACTAACTAAATATATGGGGATTGATTATGTAAATCATTCATCCTTATATATGTGGGCTTATGATCCATAGTTCTTCATGTTGGGCTAAACCCATGGGGTAACCGATGGATACTCCATGGAGGTTAAAACCCATGGATCATGAGGAATATGGAAAGTCATGAGTTACATGGTGTAACCCTAATAGCCACAATATATAAAGACCCCATAGCTCAAGAAATTGGCCCTAAGGATTCATATGAGAGGGCTAGCCAATTTTGAGCATAAGAACTTTTCTCTCAAGTTATTCCAGGTTGTTGGTGGTGTTGTGTGAGCCATTTGAGGTGTCACACTTGGGGCACTAGGATCTTAAGCTCCACGGAATCAAGCTACAACAAAGAGGTATGTCATTCTACTAGATTCTTGTATTATATATACTTTATATTATACTAGTTAGGATGAAACCTTGGAATATTGAATATTTTCATGTATAATAGAGAAAACATAGATCTAAGGTTTATAGGGTTGCATGTACACCATAGGAGTGTTAGATTGCTCAAAACCCAACAAGATATGTCATACATCAATGCTGAAGACACTGCCTCACCCTGGCAGCGGAACAAAAGGCAGATCCAACTCTAGTAACCTCAAAATAGATAGTCAACACTCCCCCACCAGGGTCACGTATTGTTACTGGCTGATTTTGGCAGTTAATCAATTCCCCGAACTGATTCAACCAATCCATGCCCGCAATCACACAAACATTTCCCATCGCAATAGGGATGAGATTAATCAGAAATCCCACACCGAAAATCTCCAATACGTGATCCTAGTATATCTCTGAAGCCAAAATCGTACTATCATCAATTATAGTGACCTTTAAAGGTTGATCCAGGGCCTCACGAGCAACACTGAAACTTCTACAGAAAGATATAGACACAAACAAACAATTCGCACCCGAATCAAACAACACCAAGGCAGGTATTGTTAACGTTACCATGAACGGTCATGTTAAATGTAACGGAAGCACAAACGAGACATTATCTCGTCAAAACCTTGGCCAAGGCCCGACCTTGGCCCAATTAATCCAACATCGGGGCAAAAGTTCGTTTCACTCCACGAGGGACGAATATTCTCCGTGATCTTCTCATTCACGCACGACCAATCAGGACATGCCAAGAAGCCTTGGTGATGCTGATATGTGCATATTTATACAACATGCATTAATATTTTTATTACTTTTATGCCTTTATATGAACAAAAGATACTTAATTTGCTATGAATTATGTTGTAGGGACTAAAAGACATGCTTGGAGCAAAAAGGAAGCTGGAAGTTGGATTAAAGAAGTTGGAAGATGGAAGTTTGAACCAAAGCTAAAAAAATGAAGAAAAATATACCTACCACGACGTGGTAATCCCACCACGACGTGGTGACTTGAAGAATCCCGATCAACTTCGAAGACTTGGAAAATACGGGATAAACATGACCACCACGACGTGGTGCCCTAATTTCAGGAAAAGTATATAAACGCTTGATGATTATGACTTTGGGAACTTTTGGCTGCCGTGGAGGGTTCCTGGAGACGAAATTCAGAAGGGAAGAAGTGCTGGAATAAGGTTTTTACCACCAAGGAAGAGAAGAGTACATCAATAGTTTAACTGTTTGGTATATTCATTATGACTTCCATTATGATTTGTGTTTGTTTATTTGTTGTTATGAGCAGCTGAATCTAGCTACTCTTGTTTAGCTAGATGAAGCTTCTGACTTATGGTTTAGTTTAATTTACTATGGATTTGTTAAGTTGGTAGTTTGCTTGTGTTGATTATCATTACCTAGCATGTTAATATTTGTTTCTTTAGTTGCTTGAATTCATGTTCTGTGTAGCTTAGTGACAATTAGATTACATGAACTTGAAACCTAGTGGTTTAGTGAACATTAAATTGCTAGAGCTAGGATTGACCAATCTTAGATAGTAATTAAAGTAATTAAATTTAGCTTTGCTAGAGAACATAAATTATGACCACAATTGTGTTTGCATAATCTTACATAGCATATTCATAATCATAACTGGTTATGTGTTAGATTGCGTGTCACCATACATAGTTTAACATGAATTAGTTGAATATTAGTAAATTTAGACTTAAATTACTAATACTATAATAACCAACTTGATAATCCATAATTGTTAGCTAACCATAAAGAAGAAGTGGATTCGAACTAAACAAGAGTGTTTTTAATTGAAATTGAGTTAAGTTAGTATAATCTTGCAAAATTAGATAAAACCCTTTCCTTTGTTGATAATTAGGTTAGTTTAATAGTAAGTAGATTAATTAGTCAATACCGTTCCCTGTGATCGACACCCGACTTACCCAAAGCTATACTATAGTCTGACTAGGTACACTGCCTAGGTGCAAGTAGTTAGTTAAGGTAGTTAGGTTATAAATTTAAAATTAGGTGTAACCATTTGCACACATCATATGCCCAGAACTGACGTCACCAGGCAGTTAGTTAACGTGGGCATAATTCTCCTAGTTAGAGGAGTCCACGTATCACACTCACTGGACGAGGTCCCCACGATCCGTTAGTAACAGGTATAGAAGGATCTCTTCCACCTCAAGGAAGGGATCCATCTTCTCTCTCACTGAATTTACCCTAATTCTCTCTAAGAAAACTAACTTGATCGTCGGAGTGACGTCCCGGGAGAACACCCGGTCGTCCTCTAACGATTCTTCTGTGATTGTGTTCTCAGGAAATCTCCCAAAGCAGCTACATCATCAAGCATCCAAACCCTTTGAAGAGTATGTCACAACATTTGGCACCATCCGAACGTATCCTCAGGGTGATACAGCCAATTAACGACATTGGTTCTTCGTAAAACGACGATCTATACCCGACAACACCTACGCTTGCAATACCAGATATGTTTCGAATACTGGTGGTGATAACTAACGAACACCACTGCAAGTACAGAACGCAGACTCCAACCCAGGTGTTCATGGCGCAGATCTCACCGATTACGGGGCCAGTACTCCAAAGCAGTTTCCGGCAACCGTCATCGAGTGGTTCATCATCTCAGATCGCGATATCGCATCCTGATCTACTGCAGAAACCTCCGCATGACGGCATGGAAGTACTTACTATCTCTAATCCTCATAAGAGAAACACGACTCATCAAGCAGGGGACAAAATAGAGGTACTCTCAAGAAATTTACTCAATATCAGTTTTTCGAGCAATGATCCCAGACCATTGAACTGGGATTCGAGAGATCCGCTCCTCATATTTGGATTTATTCGTAACATGAAAATCCATCGAACATATATCGACAATGATAGTTGCTCTGATATACTCTACGAGCACTGTTTAGACAACTACCAGACACGTGGAAGGAGGGG